CTCTCCAGAGCTTCAAACCCACATATCCACTTACTCAGACGCCCCACAGGCACCTCAGACAACACTTTCAAACCTGAACTCATCTCTCTCCCTCGCCCCCAATCCACTCCTCCTCCAGGGTGCCCTATCCCAGTGAATGCCCTGCCATTTATCTACCCAGCTGCCCCAGCCAGAAATATGGGCACCATCCTTGACTCAGCCTCATTCTACCTCCTAAACAGCTCTCAAATTTACCTCCTTCTGTCCACCTTAGCTGAGAACCCCAACATCTCTTACCTTGGCAACTGCCACCACCTCTTCACCCACACATCACCTCATCTCTTTGATCCCTCTAATCTACTCTCTACCCTGCAGCCAGAGTCATCTTTTAAAACTGTAAATCTGACCACATTGCTTCCAGGTGCAAAACCCTTCAAGGAGAGACAATATTTTGTATAATTTGAAGTTATCAATTTGAAATTAAATACAAGATAGAATAAAAAGTTTAAGTAGTGACAAATGTATTAGAAACCATAAAGTATCATATAAATGTCATTAACACTCACTGAATTACAATTAAAAAAACAAAACGATACCCTTGAATTGTTCCATATTCCTTTCAGGATAAAGTCCAATCTGCTGGCTGACAAGGCCTTTCAGACTCATGGGGCCCTTCTTACCTTTGTGGCTTGTTCTCTCAGCCTCCTCCCTCTTACACACTCTGCAGCCATACTGGACTCTGCCTTCTTCTCATCTCTGAAAACTCCACCCTAGCTCCTCCCATGTCTAGTTCATCCCTGGGGGCCGCTGCTTAGATCTCATCTGCTCTGGGAAAGCCCCCTAAACCCCCACTGGTGTTCAGCGCTCCTCCTCAGTGTTTCCACTGCACCTGAGCCCATCTCCCTTATGACTGAGGGTCTAGGACAGAAGAAGTCACTGGCTGTCCTGCCCAGCATGGAGCCAAGCGCACAGTAGAGCTCAACAGTCAAGAATGAATGAATCATATCATATCATCTAACAGGAAATCTGCACATGGCTCTTCCTTGAGCACAATTCCACAAGATAAAGCTTAGTGGGCCCTGCATGCCCCACCCCCAGACACGGTAATCTCCTTCAGCCCTTAGCTCCAGTGAGGCTGTAGGAATGACCTGTAGTTCCAGCTTTAAAGCTTCGGAGCAGTTCTCCTCGGTGCTGGTTCCCTAATGCTCTCACAGGTGTTGTATGGCATTTGTTTTAAGGCTGCTGTCCTTCACACTCACACACACACACACACACACACACACACACACCATCCCCCATTGCAGGAATTATCTTCTTTATGTCTTTATTTTCACAGCACATTGCTTGGACATATTATTGGCTCATTGAATATATGTTGAATAAATGAATAGAGTCCATAACTTTTTTAACTTTGTAATTTTCCAGGTGCATTAGCACACAGCAGATGCTAAATATATACTAGCAGTATGGATTAACCTCTAATAGTTAAAAAACAGCAGGTAATATAATTGTTAAAACAAAACAAAACAAAACAATTTACACTTCTCGTTTTGAATAGTCTTAAGATATTATCAATGGTGAACGGCACATCCTTTGAAGGCATGTTTGATTTTTTTCCTAAATAGCCCAAAGTTATTCAAGGTAAATAAGACGAGTAATACAGGGTTTTTTTTTTTTTTTTTTTTTTTGAGGAGGGAGGGCAAAAACAACCAAACAATAATCCGGAGGAAAACAAAGGCAGTAACTAGCACTTACATAGTTAGCAAACAGGTTCCACAAGCAATTCCTACTCCCATTAAGAAACTAAATCCTAAATTCAATTTAGCTCAATTTAGCTCAAGACCAGAGCTGGAGGAATCAGAAAGAGAAATAAATAAGCATGTTTTCAGAGATGTAAACGTAGAGCGGCCGCCGCTACCTTTTTTAAGGATTAAAAAAAAAAGGATCCCGCACCGTCCCTCGACTCCTGCGCGGGCGGACCGGAACCATGACTTCAAGGGGAGAGCGGCCACCGACCCCGGGCTCTCGCCGCTCAAGGCCAAGCAGCATCCCGGCCTCCACCCATCATTAATAGTGACTCAACCAGACCATCCTCCGGGACCCGCCTCCCCAGCCCCGCCTCCGTCTCCACCAATGACGGCCCGGCGACCCGACCACGGCAACCAATCCAAACACCGGAGGGGCGTGGCCTGGCGGCTCCCGGGAACCACGCGGATCCCGGCAGGCGTGGAGGTGGACTTCCAGAGGGGGCCCTCTCGCCCCGCCCGCGGGCACTGCGGTCCTGGCACACCTCACTCCAGCACCGACCGCTTCTCAGGCATGGGACTATTACCGGGCCTTGCGATAGTCCAAATATCTGCCCAGGTGTCCTCCCACCTCTGTCACTCTAGGCATCCAACTCAAAGCAAACGTCCCGTAGCGCTCGCACTTCGCTCAGGGCTGTGCGGGCACATTCCCCGGAGATCCCCCAAGGCTCTGGCAATTCCGCCCATCTCTACCCAGATCTAATGAAGCAGCGAGACCTCTGCTTGCCTGTCGCAAGGGTTGGGCTGCAACTCCTCTCCTCTCTGCTCCCACGCTTTTAAATTCCCTTAGTCAAACTCCGTCTCTCCTGCCACGTCCCCAACCGGTTCCGCGCGCATCCAGGACGCGGAAAAGCTTCCCCAAGGGCTGCTGACCCTTGGCAATCTCCCGAATTTCCCTCCCCGGGCCGGCGGTCCCAGAACCCCTGCCTCTTCTTTCCCGCAGTTTACCATAAGCGTTTCCACTCTGTCTCCGACATCCTGAGGCTGCAGCAGCGCCGGACGTGACTTCTGAATCATTGGAGAGGAGGCCTGCGAGTGCACTGGGCTCAGGGTGGCGTCGGTGGGAGCTCAGGCCCGGCCCTGGCGACCTCAGAGGACAAAACGACGTGATGGCGGTAGCCCGGAGATGCGTTCTAAGGCGGGGGCTCTGCCGTCTGTGCCTGTCGGGAGTCAGGACCTGAGCACCCACCGCCCGTGCGTAGCTCCGGGCGCCGGACCCGGCAACTACTCGCCGCTCTTCACTCGCTCAGCAGACACCGCGGCTCTGCTCTCCGGCCCATCCTGCCTCGCCGCAGTCTTCAGGACCTGAGGAAATTAGGCCGTGTGTACCAGCGGGTGGAGAAAGCCGGAAGAACTAGAAAGAACAGGGGGATTTAGCTTCCGGGGTTGGACGCTGGTCACGAGCGGGTAAGGGCGTTCTCCTTAGTGCCACCTCCTGAAGACGTCCAGAACTGCAGGATCCGCGCTTTTCTCTGCGCCGGGAGCTTAATGGGGCGTTAACGCGGGGTTATGCTTTTGGGCACAACTTCGGAACATATTTACAGTCGAGACTTGCTCTGCCCAATACGGTAGCCCGTAGCCATCCATGACTATTGAGCACTTGAAATGTGGCTAGTGTGACTGAAGACCAGAATTTAAAATTTTATTTAATTTTAATTAACTTATATTAAGAACTGAAGCAGTGCGGAATATTTTTTCGTTAAACGCGACTTCTTTGTTTTGGCAGACCCACGTTTTCCCTTAAACGCTGAAAATTTAACTTGGGAATTGACATGTGCTGTAGGTTATCCACACACTGGATTTCTAAGACTTATGGTAACAAGGTAAAATATCTCAATAATTTTTATATTATAACATGTCGAAATCATATATTGGATATTTGGGGTTAGGTGAAATATATTATTAAAATTAATTTTACCTGTTTCTTTTTACTTTTTTAATATGGCTATTAGAACATTTAAAATTACAGCATGTGGCTCACACTACATTTTTGTTGGACAACTGTAGTCTAGATGGTTAAGATTATGGTTTTATCCCGCATCTGGACTCTGTCAATAACCTTCTTTTTGGTCTCCAATTTCCTGTTATTCTTGTCTGGCTGATCCATGGAAAAGTATTACTGCTGAGATCCTGCTGCTCCTGTTGAAAAAGGCAGGCACACACCTTCAGTGGCCCCGGTTATCTGCAGAATAAAGTCCAAACTTTTCATAGCAACAGCCTTCGCAACTTTTCACCATCCATTCTTCACCCAGGAAATCTAGGTCAGGAAAGAAACTGATGATTTAGGAAGCAAGATGCTATTTTTTAAGGCCTCATTCCTGTGCCACTGACGCCCAAGGAACAGGCAAGAAAGTGGGCTCTTTATCCCCAGAGGGGATTAAGCAAAGCATGAACATTAAAAAATATATATATGCAAACTTGTCTGGTAATTGTTGAGTACTTTGCTACCCCTTGTTCTGAGCTGCTAGACTCATTGTGCAATGTTGATGACTAAGCTGAGAGTTCTTTTTGAAGGGAGACCTACTTTTTCCCCCTTATAAGGCAAGGCTTCCTACTTATGAGAAATAATGGATTGGTATATTTCAGAGGCTGCTCTTGGCCACTCTGCGGGTGGTGGCCCACTGCCCCACCCTCCGCAGGTTTGTGGTGTTGGCTCTGAGCTCAAAAGAAGTGGGCTGGCTTTCAAGGGCAGTGGATGCCTGCCAGGTTTTCCTCCTCTGTATGTTCCTGCCACACTCACAACCCTGGAGCCCCAGGTCCCCCCATCTCCTCCGATCCTCCCCCCATATTCTTAGAGATGCAAAGATGTATAAGGTCGCGTGAAAGAAGCATTACCCATCAGCAGATAAGTGAGGATTTTGGAGCAGTACTTAATGGCAGAACTTAGAGGAGTGAATTAAACAATAAAAGGAAAAATATCTGGTAAAAACATTGTGTGTGACGTTAGTTCAAAACAAGGTCATTTACATCAGGCAAGGCTTCCCTGACTTGTTCACAGTCAGTGGAAAGTGATTTTGCTTCTATGACCTAACTCCTCCCCAGTTACACACTGGGTCCTTCAAACCCAATCTGACCCTTTTTTTTCTGAGTTGAATGCTAAGGTTAAATGATGCATTCCCATCCCAGTGACTGTAGACACTCTCTATCCAGGAAGAAATGCACATATGTCAATTTGGATACATGACCTCCCTCTTAAAACTTTATTTACAACAAGCTTTGACATCTGGAGAAGTTTCCACCACCCACGATGGAAACGGCTGGAGTAAACATGAGAAGCTGGAGACGAATGGGAGAAACAGAAGCTGCTCCAAAGGAAGCTTCATTTTTCTGCCCTCCAGGGCAAGAGGAGATGAGCCTTACAGTGCCTTGCACCTGTGTCACCTCATCCGGAAGAAGATGGCTGGAATGGTGAAGAACACGAAGGTGAGTTGCCCCCAGTGCTTCCAGGAAAACTGGCTCAGGGAAACCCTTCCTGTCTGCTGGAGCCAGAGCTGCTTCTGGAAATGTCTAAATTTCCTCTACTGTTGTCAAAGCAATGAGCTCGCCTTTGCATTTGGGAAGCCAGTAGGGGATCAAGAGGTGAGATACCATGCACACTGTGCTGCCACAACCTCCTCCCCTCCTCTTCACAGGCCTCTTTATGACTTGGGGCCTCCCAGAGAGGCGAATGGGTATGTTACGGTGGTCTCCATCCTATAACTAATGGATGTTCTTCTCGATTTGGACATCCCTCCCACCCCAAACACGAAAGAGCAACCTTAAGGGTCTCCAAGGGCAAGCACTGCCCTCAGTGGTGGGGGAAGTCACCCTCTGTGCCTGGTCACAGGGATGGGCACAAACAGGAAGAAAAATGAATTGTAATGGCTTTACCAGAAGCTTCGGCAAAGATGATGGTCCTGTCACTGCTTTGGGCTTCACAAGAGAGAATTACCTTTCTTCCTTCTGTGCCAGTGACCTTTGCCTCCAGCCTCACCACTGAGCTGAGGATGCCTGGGCTATGAGAGAGCAGCGAGATAGAGCGGCTCATGGGCTGGTCTCCGAGAAAGGAGTGGATGACTCAGGCAGAGAGACTATGCCCCTACCAGAAAGGGGGTCCTGGAATTCTACCCCGAGGGCTGAGTATCAGGGGCCTTGGAAGAGAGGAGCCATAAGGCAAGCCCAGGCTGTGTGGCATTTTGTTTTATCATCATATTGAAGCCACAAACCACTCCATCAACATTGTGACAAACCATTTCCCCGTCCTCCGGAAAGATCAAGTTCCTCTTGTTTTCCTGCCGTCTTCCCAGTGAGGAAACATATGCTACATTTTGGCTAAAAGTTCATAAACTTTAGCACATATTTTCAGGTACAGTTCTCCCTGTTCCTGACCAGTGTGAATTGCCCACAGGGCTGAGCAGGACCCAGTAGCAGTTTGCCTGATGTCAAGTAGTTGTACCCACACATGGAAGGTTTTCTTCTTTGGCAGAATGGCTCTATCTGTAAACGAGTATTCCTTGTGTGACGGTGAGTTATATATGTCAACTTGACTAGGTTATAATCCCCAGTTATTCAGTCAACACTAATCTAGGAGTTGCTGTGAAGGTATTTTGTAGACATGGTTAACTTTAAGTAAAGCAGATTATCTTCAATAATCTGGGTGGGCCGAATCTAGTCAGTTGAAAGGCCTTGAGAACAAAACTGAGGCTTCTCTGAGGAAGAAGAAATTCTGCCTCAAGGCTGCAGCCTCAGTTCCTGCCTAAGAGTTTCCAGCCTGATGGCCTGTCCTAAGGATTTCAGGCTCGGCAGTCCCCACATTTGCATAAGCCAGTTCCTTGAAATAAATCTATCTATATATGTGTATGTTAATATATTAATATTATATATAATAGCTATGTTAATATATTAATATAATATTTTATGTCTGTCTATCTGTATTTCTCTGGAGAACTCTGACCAATACACCTTGTTGCCCTCCTTGGAGGGTAGGGGCTGTGTCCTGCTCTTCCCTGTTTGTCCTTGAGAGCCCACCCAGGCAGAGTGGTGTCGTGCAAAGAAAGTGGACTTTGGAATCAAGCAGCGATGCGATGCCTTCCTTTGATCCTGCCTTTGTCACTTGCTAGCTGTGTATTCAGTTTCCTCATTTGTCAAATTGGAGATAATAGTACCTACCTCGCAGGGTTATAGTAAAGATCAAATGAAATAATGTGTATCTAAGTGTTTAGTAAGAGACTAATCAAATGTAAGGAATTATCATTTCAGTAGGGGCCCAATAATTATTTGTGGATGAGTTAAATATTTATGGGCACATTGATTGGTTTTCTCTAAATCAGAAGTGACCAAAAATAGTCCATCATCACGCTATGTAGAATATTTTTATGTTTGACACATAACCCATCTTCAAGATTGTTACCTTGTCCTTGGATGAAAAAGGAACAGCTAAAAAGTTTAGATTGGTCCATGAGAAAAGCAGAAGTTGAATCTCTTTGCACTCAGATTGCTGCCTGAGCCCTTATTTCTCATCATAGCACATGGAATAACCCCACACCAGCTCACTCCTCACTTGAACACAGGCAAGGAAACAGACCTCTTGAAGGTGATGGTCATGGTCCCTGTAAAGACCGCCCTGGCACTGTAGTACGCCATCATGAAAAACGTGGTGTCTATCACGGTCCCTAGTGCACTGCCGTGGATGATCCTGCAGGGCCAGACGAGGGAAGAAAAGGAAAACAATAATCACCCAGGACCCCACTCTGCACAGCCAGGTGCTGGAGAGGTGAAATGCTGAAGGGCTCCCTGCCATCCAGGACCAGATTCTTGCATCACTCAGGGTAGAGCAGAGAAGTGGGAGGAAAACCAATGAGAGGGGAAGACAAGCAAAGTTGTCTAAAGCAAGTTGCACCTGCTTAGAAGGGGATGAGCTATTCAAAGTAGCGGAAGAAGCCCTCCACCCCACTGCCAGCCTCAGCTTCAAATTCTTTTTTTTTTTTTTTTTTAATTTTTATTTATTTATTTTTCCCCCAAAGCCCCAGTAGACAGTTGTGTGTCACAGCTGCACATCCTTCCAGTTGCTGTATGTGGGACGCGGCCATGAGGCCCGAGAAGCAGTGCGTCAGTGCGCACCCGGGATCCGAACCCGGGCCACCAGTAGCGGAGCGCACGCGCTCAACCGCTAAGCCACAGGGCTGGCCCCTCAGCTTCAAATTCTGATGAATCTTGTGTTCCCTCCTGGGTTAGTCTCAGGTGGAAATAGACAGGTGCAGGGAAAACAACGTGGGCTTTGCAGGCAGAGAGACCTAACTCTGAATCCCACATTTCTAGCTATGTGACCTCAGTCACATAACCACTTGGAACATCTGTTTCTTCATCTATAAGATAGGAAAAAAGAATATCTCCTTCTAAGAATTTTTGTGAGCATTAAATTAACATTGCCAAAGCTCGATGTACAGGGTCTGGCATATACTAGCCACTGAACAAAAATAGTTTCTCCCCTTTCTCATTTTTAACGTCCATGGCTTACTCCACTGCCGATTGGGAGGTTGAGGATCAGCGAGGTAGGTGACTGAGGGGCTGGCTGAGCCACCTTCCGCAGGGAGCCAGTAGAATGAGGTTTATGCTCCTCTGCACTGTGATAACCAAGAACCTGCTGAAGGTAGCCACGGACCCACAAGTTGGCCTCTCGCCCCCGTCCCTGCTCTTTGACCAAGAAAAAGCCCATTTAAGCTGCCAACTGGGATGGTCCTCCATGCCTGACCCAGGCAGCCCCTCCAGGAGGGGCCCAGGCTGGAACAAGCAGATACACTTCTTCTCTGAGTCATTGTGGAAGATGACATACTCAAAGCCAAGTGTCTCCATCTCTGTGATCTGCAGAAAGAGGCGGGCATCTTCTATCATTTGGACTAGAGAGAAGAGTCAAGTCAATGAGATGGACCTCAGGCTAGAGTCTGACCCTCAGGGCGGTGCGGGTCTCCAGGGCAGAAAGCATCTGACCGGAGGAGGTCCTCAGGAAAACCCACTGCCCTCAGCTTCCCATCTCCACCTCCTAGAATGGCCCCATAATCCTCTGAAGGAGAAGAGCAGCTTCCAGAGAGGGGAAGAGATCAGCAGTGTGAGGGACAGTGAGGAGAAGTGAACTGCCCGTGGAATCGGAATACCACTGTGTCTATCAACTGAATACGCAAATGCTAATCTGAAATGCACTGATTTGGGCAGATCAAGGAATAAGCAGGTGAAAATCCTTCCCGTAAAATAAGCAAATATGTCCCCTCCTCTAACTCCCACAGGTCTGAGATCCAAGTGAGATTTGTCTATACAGTATGACCTCCAAGGGAAGTGGGAGGGTTTAGAGGCCTTAATTGGAGGTCAAGGGTAAAGCCTCCAATACATAAAATCCAGACACGTATCAAACACCTGCACTTTTGCCAAGAATCTCAAAGCAGAATTTCTAATGACAGGTTAGGTTTGTAAAATTAGAAGTCTTCCAACTGGCTCTTCCTGTCTCTTCAATGCCATATCCCATCTTCTGCCATTCTTTTCGATCCGTTCTCCTTGACTATTCAGGATCTCAGCTCAAATTGACCACTAGAGGGAGCATGAGTCCTTTCCCCGACAGGTTGTGGTTCCTGGCCTCGGTGGTCAATAAGATACCTGACTGCTGCCCTCTGGTAGCGTCACTGAGCTACCAGCCTTGGGTGTACCAGGGTGAAGGCACTGCCCCTTCCCAATTCCTCTCTCATACTGCACCTGTCTGGTCTACAGGAGATGGTGGGGCGGGCAGGTATAAGGAGATGATTCCATCTGAATCCTGACTGCCGACCCTGTGGAGAGAGCACCGAACCAGGAGTCAGGGCTTCCTGATTCTTGTCCAGGCTCTGCCAAAAACTCACTGTGGCACCTCTCTAGGCCTCACTTTTCTCACTTGTAAAACGAGCGAGTTGAACTAGGTGGCCTCCAAGTTCCTTTCCTGGCCTGATATCAGGTGAGTCTAGGATCACCACGTCGTGACTACCTGGTACCTGACTCTGAGGCTAATGCAAGCCACACCAGAGATGTGGGAGATGGGCTGAGGCACGGAGCGCCTTGAGGAAAATGCACACACATAAGCAAGTTTTGCCAATGGTTCTGCATTATTCAGAGGCCCCCTCTAGTCCAGGTTAAGCACTCCTGATACAGGGGTATGAACTTACCTGGGACAGCTTTAGCAATCCTAGCAAGTTCTGCCTCTTTCAGTAACTGCATAGAGCACCAATAATCTGGAAGTGCGCCCACGACCCATCCACAGTCTTCTCCGTGAGTTCATTTGACAGCCCCACCATGACTCGGCTCCAGCTGGCATTGGGGAGGGAATAATCCTTTATATTGGACTGGAAGTGGCTGCTTGAGACCTGCAGAGTCCAAAAGAGGTGGTAGACTGTGTCTGATACAATTCCAATTTGACTCATTAATTCATGCATGTATTAAATAGATGGGCCTTTTTTTTTTTTTAACCAGGCAGAGCATGTACAAATGCCCAGAGGTGAGAGACAGCATGGCAGGTTCTCAGAACTGTAAAAGTGGAAAGGTCTAGCAGGAGGGAAGGGAGGCAACAGAGGAGGTCAGAGAGAAAGCCTGGGACCCGAGCTGCCATGTGAAAGAATTTGGGCTTTATCCAGAACAGTTATAAGCAAGAGAATAAAATGTCCAGATGTGTGTGTTAGAAAGATTCCTACTCACACAGGGGTACTTGTAGTCTGGTCAAGCCTCAGTGACCCTGGGGAGTCTGGCTGATATACAATTTAAAGACAGTCTTTTCACTGCCTCTTCCCTCTCCTGCTCCCCCGTGTCCTCCAGGCTCTACTCCCAAGACAGTTCACTTTGGTTGACTATCTGATTTATTATGCCTCCTAATGTCCCATTACAACTGGAGGCTCAACCAGAGACTCCCTTCTCTGGCAGACAGGGGAGAAGACAGGGTCCAAATGGCCAGCTCTTCTCCCAGGAATTTTGAATAATCCATCATGTGGCAGCACTGTCTTGTACCTTCCACCTGGTTATTATTTGTATTCATTGGTGCCAAGCAGTTCTGTTCTTTTACAGTTTCTACTTTTTCTGGCTCATTTATCTGGTTTACTTACAGTTCCCTGCATACGCCCTTCCTTACCCACACAGATGGAGAGAAATACAGATTCGTATACTATTTATAGACAGACAGGCTCTTAAGGGGGGAACAAAAGCCTAACACCTAAGAATGAACTCCAATCCTTACTGCTCTCCCAAGGCGGCTCTTTTGCCAGCTAGTTAATGGTAGAGTGGCATTTGAATTCAGTCTCCATAACTTCTTCCCATTAATACACTGTACTTCCTGCTGCTGGTCCCTAACTGCCCTCAGCATCGGTTTTCAAATCTGTCAAATGAGAAGAACACCACCTGCCCTGTGGGGTGCTGTGAGGACTGCATGAGGTCACGATACACAGATGTCCTTGTCCTGGTCCCTGGCCCAGAGCAAGCATTCCAAGATGTCACTTCCATCTGAATCCAACAGGAAAGGTCTCCCCTTCCCTAGTTTAATCCCAGAGAATTCTTTCCTAGTACTGATCATATGAAACCAAGCCTGCACTCAAATGTTTTTGGAATGAGGTTACTCACCTTATGAAAATATGAAAGGAGTGACATCCAATGAATGCTTTTTTGCACTTAATTTGCACACAGTTCACTTTTAATTTTGGCTCCTATTTTTTTTTAATCCAGAAGGTACCTCATTAAAATGTAATTGCTGCTTTCCCTTGAGTTGCCACTGATCAGATATTCTCCCCCTGACTCTGCTCACTCTGGGGATCAGCAAGCCAACTTTCCCATGTAAGAAATGTTCAACAGGATGAGTGAGACTGAGGTGGCCTCCAGATGTTGTCTCTAAGCCCTCAGTTCGAGGGCCCCACCCCTCAATATAGGACAATATAGCCAAGTGGAATGAGCATCTTCTGAGAATCACCAGTGCTGGCTCTAAGTCTGTGTTCTGCCAATAACTGCTGTGGCCTTGGGCAGGCCACCTGGTATCTCCAGGCCTCAGTTTTCTCATCTGTCAAAGGAGAGCAGCAGACTGGATGACAGGTAAGGTCCCTTCCATCTCTCTCATTCTGGGACTCTGACCACCCTCGCAACTGCTCGGCATCTGGTAAGCGATGAGGATACTCACGGTGATAGGCTGGGCTGGCATCCAGCCTGACCTGGGCAGCCGGTGCTGGCCAGCCAGGGCTTGGAGAAGAGGTGCTGCATGTCGGTGCCCCACCAGCCGTCTGAGACCGCTCTGCAGCATGACTTCCAGCTGAGATTTGCCAACTGCACCTCCTTACAAAGGCAAGCCTTCCTCCTTGTAGGTGAGCATTGGCCTGAGGCTCGGACTCAGCTAATCAGAACCTTTCTTCATCCCCTGAGGAGCAGAGAGAAGACAGCAGCAAAATCCAGTCCCCCTCCACTTACCAGGCAAAGCAGTGAGGAGCAGAACTAGGAGGGACGTCAGGCAATCGTGAGTTAGTAAATTACAATGCATTTGATTTGGGAGCTGCTAGATGCATTTTTGGTTGTGTTAACCAGATGCCTGGAACAATTGGATCAATCTCAGAATGTTTTGCAGACCAGGGTCACCAGGGTAACCAACAATGACCAGGAACCAGAGTGAATAACATCAGTCTCTGCGTGTGAGGACAATTGGCCCTGAATACCTCACCCTAGTCCTTAACTCTTTCTTGCTTCAGAGGCCCGTTCATTTATTCATTCAACAAATATTAATTAAGCACATATTATGTACCAGGAGCCTGTTCCAGGCTCTGGGGAAACAGCAGTGAATAAAACAGATGAAGTCGATGCCCTCATGGGGCTTACATCCTAGTAAGTGATAACAGGTAACATTTATTGTTGTGCTTTCTATATCCCAGGCACTGTTCTAGCTGTTTCCCTGTTTTATCTCTTTTAATACTTATTTTAATACTTATGTTATCTCATATATAATCAAAATTTAAATTTCACCAATTGTACCAAAACTTTCCTTCATAGCATTTTCCCCCCTGATCCCGAATCCAATTTAGGATCATATATTTCAGTTAATTGTCATGTCTCTTTACTCTCCTTTAATCTGGAACAGTTCTTCAGCCTTTCCTTGACAGACATATTCTTAGCATACCACACACACGCACCCAGACACACACAGAAATGAGCTCCAAGTCTTTCTATTCTGTAGGCGACTGTTGTTACTGCCAGCTAGTGAGTGATAGGTGGTGCTAGAACACAGCTTCATAACCCTGTGTGAGCCTCTCGCATAAATCAGAGATGGGCATCGTCACTATCCCCATTTTACACATAAGGACACTGAAGCACAGAATGGTTAAGGTAAGTTTCCCAAAGTTACACAGCTGGTAAAAGGCTACATGCTGTATATTTTTGTTATAGTAATAATAATTTACCTTTTATGTGTACAGAGATGTTTACAGGTTACAGATTGGACATCGAGCAGTTCTATGGAGCAGGCAGGACAGATAGCATCATCATCACCATCTTCATCATCCTTATCTTACAGATGACTGCTGTGATGCTTGGAGAGGTTGGTTTAGGCCAGCTTGTAAGTGGAGGAGCAGGGTCCAGGACAGGACTTCTGAGGTGTCCCTTGCAGTATCCCCTCAGGAAAGCCTGGCGTGGTTCAAGATCCAGAGGTATGTCCCACTTCACAAGTGTTGGCTGCTCCAAATGGTCTTTGTTAGCTCGGAGACAGAGAAGTCCTGACAGGCAGCAGTCTGGCAGCAGGTAGAGGAAACATCTCCCCAGTTTGCACACCAACCACAGAGCTGGTCCAATCTGGCTGTGTCCTGCATGATGACCCCTCCCGGGGAGGGTGTGCTGCTGGCTGAACTCAGAGTCACATCCTCCAGAACTCAGTTTGCTCCAGGCCAGGCAGGTGAGCTGAGGAGCACAGGGCATGTGTGAGAAGATAGTGGACTTGCCGGCCGATGCAGGAGGTAGAGTGGACTCCCACGGCTTTGGAGACATTGTGCTCTGGGATTCGGATTTGGCAGCCTCTTAGGTTAACAATAATCATCTTGAAGGACTTTTTCGTTGAACGAGAAAATGCTGCTTAAATACCCAGCTCGGAGCAGGTGCCTAAAAATGTGAATGTCCCTCTGTCCCCTTCCCCATATCCCTTCTGCCATCCTCAATTCAACTCAGCAAGTGTTGATTGAGCGCCTGACTGTGCCAGTGTGAAAAAGAGCACATTACATATATATATATGTATAATACATATATACATATATATAAACATATATATATATGTATAATACATATATACATATATATAAACATA